AATTGTTGAAAAAAAAACTTTATTCAAATATTTTATCCCAAGAGGCTTTAAATTTTTAGGCAGTGATGTAACATTGATAAATAAATGATAATTTTATTTGATATCACGAAAATTATAATTGAAGAGAGTAAAATTTTACGTAAAATTTTAAACAATTCTTAAAGAGGTACGATTGTTTTTTAGTATTCTTGTCCAAAGAATCTTAGTTAATTTATGAATATATCAGTTTGTTTTCAAACCACTTCTCCCTTTGTTTCTAACTAGTTCATCGGAATCAATGATCTGCAAAAATGCGCTTATTCGAAATATTAAGTACATTTTAGGGAATTTAAAAAATCTTTTTAGGGTAAAATTAAAATTACAAAAATAAAAATTTTTTTCAACGTGATTAAACTACGATAATAACAATTTCTTTCCCGACAAGCATTTAAAATCAAATTAGATATTCAACGTTAAAAAATTAATGTCTCAGAGTAGACCAATGAAATTGTCAATCTAAAATGTTTAATAACTCAATTTTTTTTTTTCAGCTAGAAAATGCAAAGATAATAACTATCGTCAGTCAACAGTAAATGCCAAATATTTCTGAAGCAATAAAAATGTTAGAGGTACAAGAAAAGGAAAAAAGTCATTTGAAAATTCACTGTCGTACAGTTCTGTGCACGCCACATTTTTTTTCTTAGCCCCAAAGTTAACATTTTTATTTATTTATTTTTTTCCTAAACACAATACTTCATGATCTTTTAACATCTTTTCGATTTCATTTTGAAGCTTATTTTACATTCACGAGCAAGTTTTTTCAAATAAAAAGATACTCTAAAGTAAAATATTACAATCATTACGTTTCTCAGTCTCAACATATATTCTCACAATTGCATGACATCCATATGAATTTTTAAATTAAATTATGCTATACTCAGTTTCACTTCGAGAAAATCTTCTTCAATCTTTGGGAAAACGGAGATTAATTCATGCCTTGACGATCATTACACTCGCTCTCTGGTTATGCAATGTTTAATCCTAAATATAAAAATATAAATAACACCTTATACTATCCTTTCGTACATGTATGTAACTTCTAGTCCCTTACAGTTGAGATAGAAAAAAAAATCTATATTCCCTTTACGCGTCGTGCAGTGACTCAAAATTACACTCTTTGATAAATTTATGTCTGTATACCTACACCCGCAGACAACATCTGAGGGAGAGTCTGACGATCTTGGTCTCCAAGTTCCGGCTCCCTCTGCGAATAATTCGCAACTACGCTTGCCGAAAACATTGAGAAAAAAAAACAAAATCTCGAACGTTGACGGCTAACGCTGGCACTTTTTCTCTGTTCCTTTCGCTTTTATTTTCTTTTATACCATCAGTAACGACGCCAGGCTGATGATCGTCAGTAGCAGCAGTTTTGTCGCATGGGATTTGCAAATCCTAGATTCGCAGCCAGAGTTTGCTAGAAAAATAACCAGAAAAGTGTAAAGCGTCGAATTGGTGGATGATGCGCTCTTTAATATCACTTATTATATACTTTTACATTCTATAGACGTGTATACACTTGTATCACTTGCAGATTTTGGGAAGGGGGGCTTCTAATACATTTTTTAATTCTTATACCTTTGCGAAATTCTCCCTCTCACTTTGTCTGCACACATCTTTGAGTATGAATAAACGCATTTTATTGTTTCAAACAAAAAATTTATCAAAAAGCTTTCTACATTTGAATCATTATTTCTTCAAATATTCAAAAAAATAAGGGAGGGGGGACAAGTAAAGAGGGTATTAAAAGTAAAAATATTGCATAACATATCGAAATAATAAAGATTATTGTTGGAGTGATTTTAATTGCGTTGTGTAAATTGTGACCTTACAACTCTGTGATAAAAAGTTGTATATTTAACATAAATTTGGACCCAGTATTCAGACAGTGGGGCGCTCTGTTAGCGTATAGTATAATTATTATGTAGAAGAAAATGAAGCTAGTCTCCAAAAAAGCCTAGAAAAATATGTATAAGACTTTAGTGAACTATTTTTGTCTTTGGCTATATAGTATTATACATTTTAGGGACTGGCACCAAAATGTTGGTATTTAATTGTAAATCCGAAACGAGGGAGGAGAAAAATTTCGGACGCTCAGCCACTAAAAGAAAGGGAGGTGAAAAAAAAGAGACAGAGCACTTGAAACCTCATGTTTAGTCCGAAAATTGGTGTATGTTAATTAAGGTACACTACTACTTTTCTCGAACATTTTAATGTATCTTCTACACTACCTACAAGGGGTAGGATGACAAAAGCGAGTGCGCGTAAAAATATAACTGAGCTATACAACCATCGAGGGATGCAAGGAAGTATGGATTTGATTAACGCTGGAGGGCCGTAAAACCGGTTTTTGTGAGTGATGACAGTTTTTATCGCCGACGGACTTGTTTGCTTGCTAACCTCGTTCTTTTCATGCGGTCGATGAGAAACAGGAGGGAAAGAAAAGGGGCCGAAGCTCTATAGCCAAGAATCACCCTTCCACCCTTATTTCATACGTGTCCTTTTTCCCCTTCGCTTCTGTATCTCCTTTGAATCTCTGGCGGCAAAGACGAAAGCTTCGACATACAATATACACACGTGTGGATACGCATGGTGTTGTTACCGTACGAGTGCGGGTGTAGGTGCAAACTCTGGTGAGGGTGGAAAAGTGATTCACGGGGGCGTCGGTTCTGTCATCGGATCGCGCGGGCGATAGTGCGATGAGTCAGAATCAGATCGCTCCACTGTTCTCTTCTAGGGCGCGCATGTGTAATCTGATACGTTTGGATTAAATTCGGCTCAGGCAGCATTTGCTATGTTGTTACCGATCGGGGGGAAGTAGGACCGGAGTGTTTGGAGAAAACGAGGCTCGATATTCGATGACAAAGGATCGCGTGATAAGCCATCGAGGGATCGGGAATCGCGGGGCGGATGAGGCTGCTTTTGATATGGTTAATTTTGTCTATCGTTTTCGGTGTATCATGGCAAGGGGCTGGGTGGATTTTATTTTTTTGTTCTTCGGCAATATTGCGTGGCTCAATTGATTAGTGTTGTATTAAACTTTTGTGTTAGCATTCAACTGAGTTACTCAATGTAACTATTTTAAATTCCAATAGATTAAAAAAAATTATTTAAATATAATAAAAGGAATACATCAATAGACATAATTGAGGTTTTTACAATTGAAATGTGATTCGTAGAATCGAAGTTGTGACATAAACAATGACTCACCTAAAATTTTTAATCGAATGGCGCAGCAAAGGAGTAGTGACAAAAAAAATATGAACGCTGCTGTTGATTGGATAAAATTCACAAAAATCCGTAATTTTCTGTTACGTCCCAATTTACTTGATTTCGAAAAAAAATTTTTGTCTTTAGACAAAAGTTAAAAAAGATTTTTTTCATTTGCATTTTATTATGTGATAATATAATTTAATCCATGCATGTAGCTTTTCGAATATTTTGACTATTTAATGAGAAATTTTCGAATGCACTTTTTCGAGAACTATCCTACCAACGACCCCCTAGACTCGCCCCCTTTTTGCGCACTCAAACCTCCCGAAACTATGATAACAACTCGTGTGTTATTTTACTTTAACGAGAGTTTTAGTATCCGCTACGTGTCAAGCATATATTCATGTTCATGCAGCTATACCTGCACAGTTGCACGCGTGTATACACGTATACTTAAATATGCATGCACTAGCAGGTGTGTGTGTGTGTTGGTACGTACGTGTGAAAGATACGTGCATCAATATTTCGTGCGCGCATCAGAATTCACGCGGAGGAATGTATCACGAAGACTTCTTTGCTGCTACTGCAGCACTGAATTTTATTCATCCGACGTGTTGAATACCAAAGACGAGATGACCTTTGCCATTCATTAGGGAAAACACTCTTTTTCGACGTTTGTGGGTGAAGAAAGCGAGTGTGAATTTATAAATCGTAGTTGTCGTTTTTCGACAATTGTGGAGTTTTGTCACGTCACAATTAATAATTTTAAAAATCTTTTCAGGATTCATGTATTGATTTGTTTGAAATTTTAGAAAACAATATTAAAAGTCACAAAATATGGTAAAAATACGCTGCAATCAGATTAAGGCATGCATTCATTCAATGAAAATTTTTTCAAAAAATGTTACATGCGCTGGAAACATTATTTGTATTATATCTGTGATGACCTTTGAACTTACTATAACGAAATAAATGTCTCACCGGTTGCTATTTGGGGCTGAAAATATTTGAGTTGGTTTAATACACTCATAAATACACTCGTGAGCATCGTGAAAGCTGCCTTCCATAGGAGTACGAGAAAGAAAATTTTCTACAATCAAATGAAATAATGGAGTACTAGCCCAAAAATTAAAGTTATTTATAGTATACATATCTCGAGGCATTAAATTTTAGTAATTAAATACGATCAAGCTCCTCGTGTACGCTATTGAAGTGCAAGCCCGAAACCTTTGCAATATTCAAAGGACTTCATTTGGGCCCTTAACCATTGCTCTACTGAAACGAAAGTACAGTGTCAGTAAGCAAATAACTTTGTTATTCCATACCAGCGTTTGATGTTGCCCCCCATCTGTGTAAATTAGTGCATATTTGCAGGTAATACAGGCCATGTGGGTTGGTTTATTCTGTATTTTTTTCGGCTGGTGTCGCAAATACAGAGCTATGCGGTGAATGCAACAAACCGTTACTATAGAGAGCTCACGTTTGTGTACACGTGGGTAGGTATGTGCTGTCTGGTAAACGGATATATGTATGGAAGAAAAAGAGTGCGCCTGGCTGTGTCCACACATGAGTATATATTTTTGGGTGTGTACGTGTTTGCGTGAGTTTACAGGTTTGGCGTAGCGGATAATTTACGGTTCGTTTGTTGGGTTGAACTGGTGGATTTTTTGATGTCAGAAATCGGAGCAATATTTTTTGGCTTTAGTTTCCGATAATTGGCTCTCTTTTCGTTTGTTGGCTTGCGTCGTTCAGTTTGGTAGTCAGTTTTTTTTTNTTTTTTTTTTTTTTTTTTTTTTTTTTTTTTTTTATTTGGTACATCACGAAGTTTCGGAATTTTTTATGGCTATTCTGTTTTTTTTTTTTAACAGATAGTGTAACAACTTTATTTTCATCGCAGGTGTAGGTTTAGCGAGAATCTATGTTTTTGTTGTAGAAAATTTTACCAATGAACAAATGTAGAAGGATAATTAGACGTGACACACACTAGAAGTGAATACTTACACTTTTTTCAGTAATTTTAAATTTGTTGCAATAAATGTATTTTATTCAATTCCAACAAAGCATATTGTTTTTACTCCCTTTCACTTAATTTCATTCAGTAATGGTTAATAAATATATTTTTTAAGAGTACAACATTCCAAACAATCGTTCGTAAAAGTAATCTTTTATTTAAACCTTCATCAATATCGGCATAAGTTTCCCGAAAAAAATAAATCTTACAGCTCCAAAAAAATGTTCGCTTATAAGTGAAAAAGGCAAACATCCGATGCATTAGCTCTCTGCGCAAGAAATTTTGGTCCGTAATGCCGTATCGACAAGCAAATAGCAAAAACACAGAACCGCCTTGCCATGGCCTTACTTTTGAGGTTAATTTTTCTTAAAATTCTTGTTGCTACTGTTGCAGCCAAGAAAGAGTTAGTTGAATAAAAAATATGTAAGAACTTGGGAGATTCCGCCGTGAAGCCCGTCTAATTAATGGAAAATGTAGACTCGTTCTAGATGCCATAAGTATGCAAAGTGAGATGGGATGGCCATTTGATCAGTTATTTTAAGTCACAAAGGCTAACGATATATCTTTTTGTCCACTGCGATTGCTTTGACAACTGTTCATATTGCAACGTATTAAAATTAAATTATACTTACCAAGTATGTGCTCGGCGTGCGTGTGTCCTTGGGGTCTTGTCTCTCTGCTCTCCATGACCGGTATCTTGTTGCTCTCGATATTACTCCGAAAGCCGTTCTCGATGCTCAGCTCGTTACTCTTCCAGTAGACTGTGGCTATCTGGGCCAAGCACTTGATCTTCATGATGCCACGTTTGAAATGGTAGTCCTGTATGCGGACCTGCAAGCCACGTGTTACCGTTTCCAGTCCCTCGCGGTCCACTTCCTTGATGTGTGCACCAAAGACCTTCACGTATTGACCTTGTGCCTGCAGTAGCATTATTATTAGTGCACAGAAACAGGTTTGGATTATCAACTTTTCATTTGTAATAATAAAAATTTCTTGTGTGTTTTCACAAAAAGAGCGAGTTATATCAATTTGTTGTATCCAAAATATTATGACAAAAAAGGGCAGAACTTAGTTCATACCGTTTTTCAACTATTGGTATTGAAAAACATTGGATATAGTTGTTTTACAGTCCAAGCATTAAAAAAATGCAAGACTTTTTTTTTATCTTAAATTATCAAGTTCCTGAAGATACTTTTTATCATCAAACAAAAACCAGTTTCTTTTGATTTACAAAACTCAATAAACCATGAAAAACGATGGATTTTTTGAGAAACCTACTCTCAGGATACGAATGACTAACAACTTATGAAACTTTCAGGAGTATTGCCTTTATAATCGCTTCTTTACAAGATAATTTCTTTAAACTGTGAATCAATCACTCAATACAGGCGTCCGTACAATGTATGATTTACGAGGATGTCTGAACATACGTTTACTCGTACTACTTGAAAACTTATTCAGCGAATAGGTTTCGTTTAGGTGACTTGAGTTACAAATGTTCACTCCTTGATTATTTTATACTTTGTGCTCTTTACAAATTTGTCACTCAAGTTAGTATGATTTTTATTTTCAAAGCAAAATATCAAGCTGCTTCCTTATCGTTCGTGTTGTTGAGCAGTTGAATATTCATAAAATGTGCGTTAAGTAGAGACTTGAGTAATCTTTGATACTTTGAAAAAAACTTGCCAACCAACATATTTCTTTTTCTTATCGGTAGGTAAGTGCTAAGTGACACGAATTTAAAAAATTGCTAATGCTAATTCAGCTGCTCAGTTTTCTCTTTCCACATGCACTCTTTTCCATTCTTTGCCAAAAATCCAGTGCGCGGATAAATAATAAAGTGTATGCCGGTCATGCCAAAAAAAATTTCTGCACTACATATTAAATTCTGATCCAGTTTTATTATGCATGGCTTACAACAAATGAAGCACAGAAATACAATTTAAAAAATTGTTGGGTTTAAACAACCCATCACGAGACATCACGTATTATTGAATGATCATCCCACATATTGGCTAATAATTGATAAAGCAGCTGTGTGATTAAAAAAAAGCTTATTTCACCGAGCTGTATCGTAAAAAAAAATTGACAAAAATGTATTGTACCAGCACAGGATAATAACAGAGGATATCCGATAATTCATTTGACTGCTTTAGGACTTTTGATGTCTGACGTTTCGAATGATGCATGGCATGTCGTTTTTTGTGATATTTTAATTTCGAAACTCAATCCCTGTCTTTTATTCTCATACACTATACTTCAAACTAGCACGTGCGTCAAATATTGACTTTATTTGAAGTTGAAATCGCGCTACAGAACATGTATAGAATTTATGATGGATCGTAGGCTGCTGTTCCACGTATATGGTGTATGTGTGTACCAAAAAGAGAAAGAGGATTTAGAGGATGTCAGTCTCGTAGGGAAAAAATTATATTTTGTAAAAATGTCAATGTTGGGATTTTTTAGCACGTCCGTTGTAAGCTCGTCACGATTTGTTTCAAGCTATATTGTCTTTGTTAATTTGACCCACATGGGACTTTTTACTTTATTTGTCGGGATTCAGGCTCCAATTGTTATTTTTTTTTTTTTTTGTGTAAACTTTTTTGTTCGGATTATAAATTGAGTGCTGTCAAATATAGGTCAATAAGTAGATAATACGAGATAGGTCAATACGAATAGACATTATAAAGACATTGTATAGGTTGAAACGATAAATTTTGTAACAATGTAAATGGTTCACGATAATAATTAAAATTGACAAGAACGTAATATTAGTTTTATAAGCACTGAATAATTATCGTTCATTAAATATTGGGGCTTATTTTTTGGATCCTGCTTGTGTTGTTGAAGTTTTTCAAGTAATTTATTAGTGGATTGTTAATTAGTGGATTATTAATCATTTATTGAAACAAAAAACAAATTAAAAAGCTTGGTTAAAAAAATTGATGATAATGAAAATATCCACATAATGATTTTGCAGTGCCTCCAATGTTTAGGCCGTCGAATGTAGATTCCTAGAAATTTCTCTTTTCTCTTTCTTGTACTTTCTCCTAAGGGTACAGGACTAGCTCTCTGGTCAACTCCCTTGAATTGATTAAATTAAAGTTCTCGAGCACCAATTTTGTGGTGGAGCTAAAGGCATGCACACATGAGCGTACCTATACAGACACGTGTTATTGGGAAGTTATTCTGTGGTGTGTAAGGTTGTGTTTGTACTAGTAGTCGAGTCGATCCTCCGTACGTATATAGGCGAAAAGGGAAACTTACCGGCTCGCCATTAATGAACCAACTGAGCGTCGCCGCTGGCTTGGACTTTGCAGACGTGCAGTTGAACCTCACGACATCGTGTGCTTGGTAGCGTTGCCTGGACCCTCGGCCATTTATGATAGGACCCTCCTCAGGCAGAGCTGCAAAATTTATTTATATGGGAATACGTATATATACATACGTTTCGTATATAGTGATGTTAGAGGCATTGCTTTGCTCCCTTCTTCCCTATAAATGTGCTACAGTATGCTTCGTACATACATTTTGCACTGTATTTTTTTATTACTCTTTCTTTTACTCGTTTTGTTAATTTTTCGCCTCTTTCAGTTCTGGAGGCATTGGCAAAAATACTAGTTTGAATATTTAGGAGTTGCTTGAACAAATTTAAGAAGAGTATCAGAATTTTTTCTGCTGTATTTCTTTTGCCTGGAAAGCTGTCGGCTTTTTAAAATGTGCTTATTCCTTGAAATATACGTATTGTTACTTTGATACAGAAGTGAAAATATTGTTATTAATCTTTTATGCGTTATATTTTTGAGAAATAATAATAAATATTACTTTTTTATTTATAATCATTTGTATAATTTGCACAAATATAGAATTGATTAAGTAATAAGATATTTTTTATATGATTGTATTTTATTATTTTCCACTTTAAATTTTTGTCTACATGATATTTTTAAGCAAAAATTTTTTTCGAATGTCTTATTATTTTTATAAACATCAAAAAATTGTAAAAGTACTCTTAATTTACCATCTGATGACAAATATTTAAATACTCTATTTCATTTAATTACTGAGTTGAAGTGTTTAGCGACTGTGTAACTTTATTAAATTCAAGCAAAATATTTAACACAATAAAAAAACAGAAAAATTTGTTTAATACTATTTACCTTCCATGGTACTAATTAGAGTGTCTTTAAAACTATTCATTTGGTTTTTGTACTTGACCAATTAAATATTTTCTTAAATCAGCAAAAAAACCTATAAATGACAAAGTTATAAAATCGATATTGCACCGTTACTTCGGGCCCATCTACGTCACCCTACGTCTCAATTTCAGTGTTTCAATTATCGCGTCGAGCACTTAACTGCAGCTCTCGCAGTCCCCCATTTGCTCGCTCAGCCATTGGTTATGTGGGCACCACGTCATATATACGCATAAGTAACGTTAAGTCGCTCCGAACATATAAGCCAGCTTTACGCTTTATATACCTATATACGGGCCGTTACGGGTAGGAGGGTCGAGCAGCCTATAGGATAGATCCTTCGGTGGACGCCAATATCAATTAACGCGCGCGCATCATTAATCGCGGCTAAATTCGTACAAACACCCCTCACCTCACAAGGCTAAGAGTAGGAAGGGAGGCGGTAACGCCGGCAGATTCAGCCCTTTATCCTTTGCCCCCTATCGTATATTATTGTTGCATTCGCCTCGCTGAACGAATCTAATGCTTGATGTACGCGTATTCTTGTGTGTACCATACGAATGGTTATACTAGGCCGCGAATATGTACGAGCATGGACCCGCAGGTTCTACGGCATTTTGGCTTTGCGCAAGAGTTGTGGTTGGTCATATGCGTGGCTCCGTGCTAATCCGCAAATCACCAGACGCATGCGAATATTGTCGTGAAAAGCTCAGTGTTTTTCTACTTTCTTTTCTGTCTTTTTGTTGCCATTCTATCATGTGGCTTTTTTATTTTCTAAGTACAAGGGCTGTGATTACAAAAATGTTAACACAATCGTGATAGTTCAACTCAACAAAAGTCTGATGACTATAGTTTTATCGAATAAATTAGCAAACAATCCTTTGTATCATTTTTCAAACTCTTTCTTTGAGTGTACTTTTGTCTCAATTCGATTTGACGCACCTTAATAATTATATTTTAATTGCAAATAAAACGTACTTATGCCTCCCCCAATCGTTTAATTGAATCAACCACCTACACACTTATTGGATGCTCTCTGTGGATTCCCACCGTCTGACCATTTGCTGATACGATTCTCTTGCACGCATTCAACACACATATGTAATATGTACAGATATAAAAATCTATTACGAGGTATCCCTTTTGCCCACCCAGTGAACCTACAGCCTTAGACAATCTACAATGTTAGTGCAAGTCTGAATTTCATACGTACATATTTAATTGACGACAACAAGGTATGTGCATTTCTACCTTTCACCACCCGCCAATTCGCGTGATTTTGCTTTTCCACTCGTGGCCACATAACTTCTTTGTGTATTGATAAACTATTTCATGCCCATCGCAAGACTTTATATAGATATCCGGTTGTGTATGTGGGTACGATGTTGATCGAAGTTAGAAATTTATCTTCGCTCCGGGTGCAACTTTTGGAAAATAATTTACGACCTTTCGCGAGAGTGGCGCGAGAAATTTGAATTATTGATTTCAATCGAGCTGCTGCAGCTGTGGTTTGTATCTACTTTGGGGGACAGAACCAATGCTTTGTTAATTACGTGCCCGTTCGTACGTCCTATCTACCGTTATATCTATAGGTACGTGTGCGCGCTTGGTGTGACCGGCAAGTATTACGTGAAACGCGAGCACTCACGAGAGTTTAGTGTGCACCAGAGAGTTATTGGGATAAAAGCGTTTGTATGATACGTACATGTCGAGTTTACAGTCTACCGCCGAATTTTCATGTATGATATTTTGGGTTGCTGCCACTCGCGTGATTATTCGCTCTTCTCGCGCACGCATTATGCACTCGGTCGAACCGAGAGATTTTCCTGGGCGTGGTGGGTGGCTATTGCTCGTGTGTTTTCGTCTGGGCCTCCGCGCGTGTCCGTACATTTGCGCGTGTTGGGCTTGAAATTCGTTCCGATGAGTTGTTTAGGGTTCGCGAGAATTAATTAGGTTCTCGTTACCCGCGTGGAAATACGTGAATATGCGATAAAGTGTTTTGGTGAGTCCATTCATTGAATTTATTTTCATGTCCAAGCAGTTGGTTCTAAATTTATGCTGTAAAATGTGTTATTGCTCTACGTTGATTGATACTATACGCAAATAATTGCTCTAAATAAAAGTTTTTTTTTTCAATTGATGGGTACTCCAGTCTCTCAAATCTTTGAACGAAAAACAATTTGAGAAATAAGTTAACAATGTAAATGAACTCTGTATTTTTTAAAAAAGTCTTAAAAGCCTTTTTATCTTTTAAAAATTCGAAGGGTAAAAAATTGGTTTTATACTATCATAAGAGTTGGTTAATTTTTTACTTATCTTATTTGCAAAAATATGAATCGACATTTTTTTTATTTAAATAATTCTTCATTTATAGTTTTCATTTCTAGTGAAAACATAGAATTTCCAGAGTTTTCGGATGAAAAAGGTAAAGTGAACACAATACTTTTTTGGGCTTCATGAATACAATGAAACGTCCTAGAAGAGCTCCAAAAATGATTGGGGGAAGCTCTCAACAAAAGTTTTTAAAGTTAAACTGCAGGGGTTTCGGGAAAATATTGAATGAAGCGAGAAACACACGAGAAAAAAATAATGAAAAAGTTTATGAAAAAAAGAAATTGTAATAAAAAAAAATTTTGAAGTATAATATTTTTAGCTACATTCACCAACAAATTTTTAAACCTTACCAACAACCTCCATGTCAGCGTGCTCAGACACAGTCTGAAATGCCGGTGCTTCTCCTGACACTTCGCATCTGTAGCGTCCTGAACTCATGAGATTCACCGAATTGAGTACCACCGAGCTTTCTGTTGAGTTGTGAATCTGTAAATAAAATGATAATATTCGATCCTACATTATAATATTTTCAGAGAGAATAGAGATTATTTTAACAACCGCAATATTATTTAATTAAATCAAATAACACTGTTTTTTTGGCCTTTGTTCAAAGATTTTATTTATTCATATGATTTTGTATAGAAAAAACAATAAATAATTCATGGTTCCCGATTAAATAGTACTATTTGCATAATTAAACGTTTTGAAACTAACTCAATACGATCTACTTTATGTACAGCCGTGCTTAAAGTAATTTAAATATTGAATCTTGCTAAGCTTTCAAATTTCAATTCTGAAAACACGGAAATTTATGAAATTCTTATTTGTGAATCGTTTCCATTAGAACATTTGAAGTAGGTGATTATTACTATAATTATGTGTTCACAAGCTGAAATTCGAATTATAGAATAATAAAGATTACCATCTCTATTACGTCTTAACTTATCTTTGAATATTTATATGAATGATTCACTTATTTGGATTTTGTCTTACTTTGATTGATGCTGTAGTTTTTGTAAAATATATTAGAGTAATTTTTAATAGAATCATCATGCAAAAAATGAAATATGCACACGTAATCTTAGAAAAGTAAGGAAATGTATTTTTTGTCAACTGCTGGGGATAAAAAGCATGGATACAAAAGCTGTAAGTGACGACCTTATTCCAACAATTGCATACTCAACCAAGTTGCAAAAAGTTAGAGTGAAATTTTCCAGATCCCTCCGGTAGACTTAACCTACTTTTTGAATGGCTTTTGCCCCCAAGAATTTCGTCACTTTCTTCTTATTTTTTGACAGTAAAAAGCTTAATTTTTATCTGCACCTGAACTTTCAATGGATCTTGTTTGTTGTGTTTATTAGAAAAAATAATGTAAATTGTTTTTATGTGATAAAAAAAATTGTAAGTTTGCCTAAATAACCGTGGGTCCTGTCAATCAATGTTCGAATCGACCTTTGTACACTAACTTACGCAATTCTTCCAACTGACATTTGAATTTTCGCTCATCAGCAGTCCCTCTCCCATTACTATTACATGTGGCTTGGACATAATATTAAATTACCTTGTGACCTTCCGTTAATTACGATGACTACGTGAAGCTATCACAATTTTCGAGTGGAAACAAAAAAACTACACCAAAGGTCCCGTTCTTTTATCTCGTTTCTTCCTACTCACTAATATAGAAAAAAAAAGAATGGTAGCAAAAAAAATGGATGATGCTTGTAATAGAGAGATGGTCTCGTGCCCTTGTGCGAAGCACCGAAAACAAGGCGAAAAAGAAAGGAAAAAAAAAAAAAAAAAAAAAAAAACCCATTCCTGTATGCATACGTTTACTCACGATGATGCGAAACTAGAAAATCATTAGGCAAGACGGCCTGGGCAGACTCGCTCCCTCTCTACTCGAAAATCTCAACTCTCTACCCCTGGGGTGCGTTAATCCCAGATACGTGGGTACGTCTCCCTTCTACCACCGTAGCTAGCCCAGAGGCCAAGAACGAGAGAGCACATGTTTGTAGGTATTACATGCTCTAGCACGTATGTATGCATAACTGTAAACTGCTGGGCGCACGATATGACAAAGAGAGATAGTGGTGAAAAGAGAGGGGGAGGTGGGAACGCAGCAACAGACGTTAAGCGTGGGTTTCACCCCTATATTTACACACATTGTACCCACCCCTATCTCTCTTTTTCTTCTTCTTCTTCTTCTTCTTCTCCCTCCAACTTCCAACTAATAAGCCAGTGAAAAACGTATCAATCATACCACCTAATACGGTACACATGTATATTTTTACGGGTGAATGGAAGCTCGAGAGAGTAAATACATTTTTACGTACAAATTAGTGGGTATAAGGTCTGCTCGAATTAAACGCCTCATCTTCCCATTTCATATTTAATCAGGATTGTGCATGTAATCACGGCAATTGGTGGTTTTTCCTCTGAGTCGGGTTTGTTATACGTACTTACATCTTACTCTAAAGGATAACTTATTAGGGCTGGCTCTGCTGTTCGCTGTAGCTACATTTTTTTCTTTCTTTACTGGCAAAACATTAAAGCCAAGGTATTACAGTTGTTTTTTCAGAGTCAGGAGACTATAACCATTTTTAAAGAATTTTATTTTTACCTCCTTTCTTCCCCTCAACTACATCTATGACGTAGGGACTGTGTGTTTGTGACTGATGACTGGATATCAGTTGCAAGAACGAGTTACAAATCTTTGGCAGAGGAAGTATAGGGTACTAGAGAATTACCTTTATACGTTTTCTTTAGGAGCTTGCAGTTGCTCCAATAATTTTACGTGAGCCTTTTTTTCGTTAGTTTTCGCCATTTGTGCACTAGTTGGCTTGTTTCGCACAGAGATTGATCAAGTTGGTAATAGTGAGCTGGTTTTGCGGAGGGCTAATTATTTTACTAAATTATTTTTTTTTTTTGATAAATTCTTTTGATGCATGAAACAACATACTCTTTCTTTACATCATACAATCAAACGCTTACTAATATTTCAAGACTCATGTTGAAAAACTACGGGATTGTCACTAGTATGTCATTACCGATCGCTACTTACAAGTAGGCTTATTTTAATGTACGTATTATCGTTGATTATAATTATCTGCCGCTATCTTACCTTTGCTTATCACTGTTTATCAAAAACTTATCATCATTGGTTATCATCGTTCTGCTAAAGTTTTTCACTAGATGCGATAAGTGTGTTATTGCTGGTGCATACATCATTGATCATCACAAGTTAAACAATACTTCTAATTTCTCATGAGGAAATTATCTTCGATAATATTTATTTATAATCAGCTCATTAGCATTTATCATTGGTTCATAATTGTTAATATTTTTTTTATGAAAAGTTTATTGATGCATATAATATTTTCTACAAACGTTGTCTTATCATTCATAATGAGTTTCTCGTTGTCCACTACATGATTATCGTTAGTTATCATTACTCATCGTAATTTTATCGTAGTTCATTGTGAGTACATTCTGACTGATTAGACGAATGTCATAACTCAGTATAAGTTAAACTATATTTTAATTACTTTTTAGCTCACCATCATAGACAAGCTTGGTATTACTCATCAAAATTTCAACAATTCTTATTATTTCTCTGATCTTTTACAGTTGTTCATTATAAAGAAGCTCATCATCGCTCTTTACTGATTGTTGTTACCAGTCATAATCTAGATTATGTCACGAAATGGTCGGTGCTTTTCACTATTTATAGTTTTAAATGCTGCTGCTGATACAATTATTTTAGCTCAACATCCGTAGGTGTTTCATCGTTCAGTCTGACCTGACGCTGAGTGTAATCACTTCAACAATGCTACTTTTCTTGTTTGCTTTGACTCTACATTATTTACTGCATTTTAAAATATCCAAGCCACTTAAATTTTTACGATTCCTTGTTTTCTTGCTAATTGTATAGTTACTGTAGCGTGATTTAACTTGTATTGAGGTTTTATTAAGCTATCGTAACATTTCCTCCTTTCATTAATAAAGAGTTGCAAGAAGATTCGTGTGAAATTCTGTGCTGGTATAAACTTATAGAATTATGTGGGAAAAAAAATTTGTATTCTTCTTGTATTTACATCAAAGCATATTTTATAACAAAAGATACTAGACCCGAAAACATTGCTGGACCATACTGTTAATAAACACTGAATCGATGGGAGAACATATGTTTGCTAAAAAATCATCATTCAATTCTTAATTATATCCATTACTGCCTCTCATCGTTACAATAAAAACCCTAAAAGTTAAAATAATCATTCCGGAGCTAATTTTTTACAAAAAATAAACAATAAAGGAGCGTGCATAGTTACAACTTTCAGCCCTACTAATTAGTACACGCGCTCGTCTTTCTGGAAAAACAACACAGAGAGAGAGAGAGAGAGAGAGAGAGAGAGAGTTATCGATTTTGCGTATCTGTGTAGCGTAAACGATCTACGTTGACACACGCTCACGCACATCCACGAGTACTCATACAGAAATATACAGAATCGAGATCTCGGGGGCCCCCCCATCCTTGCCACCCATGCCCGGAATATAATAACCGTAATAACCGAGACTGGTTCCTATTGTCATCGTCACGCTCCTCCAGCACTGGTAACACTATCCCTCTCCCCCCTCTCTTCTCTCGTCCGCTATCTATACATCTGCTGTGTGCCCCCGCGAACGTGTTCGCTCGCGTGAAAACGGGGTCTCGCAGCGTACCTATCTGTGTACCACTACATAAACTGCTATACCCTCTGCAGTTCGCCTGCAGAATCTAATCGGGCTAGCATACGTATAGGAACTACACCTATACCTGGCCGGTTGTTTTTCTAGGGCAGCAACAAGGAACCCAAACCCCCTAAAGCGCGGGGAGGGGAGGGTCAGTAGAGCTTGTTATACCAGTCAATGTGTGTTTTCCCATGTACATGTACCATAGACTGTGTGTGTTACGTCCACAAGGGAACGCTTTTTTCCAGATGTTCTGTTTTGCGGATTTTTGCAACCATTTAGTTGTATGTTTAGATTAGTTTCATTCTCTTTTGACAGCACATGCTTATGAATGTTATTGAAGGTGTCTGTCAGGAGTATGGGCTTGTATGTTAGCATAGTGTTCGTACGCCGTCGTTTTATAGGTAGTGGATGTAAGGCAACTCGTCACTTGATCCTTTATTGTCATGCAAATGGAGTATTCATTATATTGTTTCCCGTTTTTCTCTTTGATTTTAAATGATAAGTTTACTCTCGAAGATTACAAGAAAATATAATTATGTAATCATGTTAGTTGTGCAGGCATGTCCTGCGATACAGTATTTTGGAGTAAGTTATTTCATAGTAAAAAAATTTAACAGTAAAAAGAAGACTCACGTCAACAGTGATACCAGGTAGTGTGAAAACGAGGACTGGTGGCTTCTCTCGAGGCACGTATCTGTAAAACTCGTTGCCGTCCTTGTACCATTTGACGGAGTAGAGGCCCACGTTGTCCAGGTTGTAATTGCACTCGAGCCTCACTGCCTGGCTGCGCACCACGTGCTTCGGAATCACCAGCTCCATCATTCGCAGGCCATCGATTCCTGTAAGACAACCACGACATCTGGTTACAGTACATCCTCAATGAAGTGCATATAATATGTGGCTCATGAAATAAAAAAAAAAATAAAGGTGGTATACCTGAAAAAAAAACAAAGTCTCTTTGCTTCTCTCTTGTTTCGTTTATCTCAAAAAATTATCATCACGTATGTAAATACATGAAAGTACATGGGTGTACGTACTCCCATTTTTTTGAGATCACGTCAACAGAGTCTCGCGAAATCTATCTCACGCGACGGCCATTACACGCGTGCGGCTTGATCTGTATGCAGAAAAGAAAAAGAAGAGCTATTCGCGCGTGTGGGGACGTACGAGTGAGAGAGAGAGAAAGGGCCTAGGAGATAAAGGGATTTATTAGGGCTTTGTCCAGATAAGCCCTTATCTACTGTTGGCCCAGAAGTTAACGAGCAAAAACAGAAATTTCCTTGAACGCTTTATACTTGGGTACTGTAGAGGCTGCCTTAAGCTTTCAAGTTTGCCCTTTTTGATTCTATTCTTTCACCTGATTAGTGAAAAAAAGGTACTATTGTCTTTTTTTTCTTTTCTTTAAAATAAAAATGTTTCAACTAGAATTATGAAAAGTTAAAACTGGCTCTTTTTGTGAAATGTAGTGATGTAGAGATGAGGTTGAAAAAAATTTTAGTGTCGATATTTTTTGAAAATTTTTCAACAGTATCTACCTTCATTGGCTTTAAAAATTCAACAGCCCTTTGTAACTTTAGTTTCATGAATAACTTTAGTTTTGTTTTAAATTTTTATCTTTGCTGAAGTATTTGGTACTTTACAGTTAATTAAATAAAAAACAAAAATATCAAGATTGAATATTTATACAGCAAAAAAGATGGCTTTCACCTTCTACTGTATTTTAAAAATTTTAGAATAGGTATAGTACGCAAAATTTAGTAAAGGGCGATTCATCATGAATTATTAAGATCGACGTAAAGGTACAACAAACGTTCATAACACGTCGTGAAATTTGTACAGTTTTGGATACCACAGAACACAGAAAAATGTTTAAAAATACAATTTACTGTGCACATCTGCAGAGCTCAACGTGGACTGTGCAAACAAATTTTAATTATTCAAATTTAAAAAATAGCATCTAAAGGGCGTGATTCTCAAACTACAAAAAAAAAGAAACACTAACAGGACAAAAAACAAAATCTTCCACACTTTATGGCTCGATCGCTTCAGCAGCTAAAACTGTGGCTAAAAATTGAGTCAGACTAATGGCGCTTCGAATCTCTCCTCCCTAATTTTTGCTGCTATCGTCATATCGATCGTGAAATATATAGTAAAAGTACGGTAAAGGGAAAGGGGCTCTACTATTTTGTTCCATCCCTACATTTTATCGACATCGTTGGCAGCGTAGTGGTAGGGGCTAAGGCTCATAGAGAACTTGCTATTATACCACCAAGTTCTCTGTTCCTTCTTTTCCCTCCTTGCATCTAAGGCTTCTCACTGACTTTTTTTTCCTGTTTGTCTGGTAGTGACGCTTTTTGGATTATATCGGTGGATTCATCGGAAAAATCAGTTTAAAAGATGATTTACTTGTATATTTTCTGACAACGATGGGTTACATGGAGTTTTTTGTAACTCAAAAACTATTTCTCTTCTATTTCCTACACATTTTTCATTCGCTGAGGCAAACAATTATCTATTTGTGTACATGTCCTGTCAGCCGTGCTTTTTCTATTTTCGTAAATCTTGCTTTACTCGATTGCTGTAATTTTTTCCACATCCCCCCGTCATTTTGTTGTATCGTGTATCGCTACCTGACCACTATTTATGTTTATAGGTCGGTAAAATACATTAAAAATATGCAGTAGGAATCATTGAATCTCATGTTCAATTCGCAACTTGCAATATTACATAATTATATACTAGACCATGGATGTTCATGGTTATTATTAAATATTACAAATAAAGATTTTCACGTAATTACCATGTGATGGATGTAAACAGAAATAATAAAATAACTAACTTCAAAATATTGGCCTAAGTGAAACAACAAATTCATTCATAACTAATACCTACATACATATGCCCATTGTTGTAAGCATATTTTCTTTTCATTGTCAAATTTTTAATAATACTACCTATGCTCTTTTTAGGAAAATTAATGTAAATTTTGGTGCATTTGTAAGACCTTGTATACCTTAATGACTATTTTTATAAAATCTAACGAATCTACATTAATTGTTTACGGCATGCATAATCCCTTCGTTTAAACTATGTTATTGCACCAGTAAAATATTAATTAGAGTAAACTGACTCACTTAGATGGGCTTACAATAACATCAACTTTTCGTAAAATAGTAGTGATGGTTTTACCAAAAAATTAAAAGGAAATATTCTATGAGCATAAAGTGCTCATATTTTGTTTTGGAACCATTAAATAAGCAACAATTTTTTCGGGCCTATACGGAAAACTCTACTATTCAGAAATCAGTTCTCAGACTCCTATTCTCCTATTCTCTCTTTATCCGCCATGGGTTACAATAAAATCAATTAGGAAGGGAAATGTCAGTGAATCCAGGGAGTGGCAGGGCAGTAATCCCGTCATACATTAAATCTTCCTTCTATCTTTTCATCCACATATATACGTCTCCAAAACTTTTCTTTTTTACCAATAATCTTTTTTCGTCCCAGCTCTATATTCCGCCACTAAGCAAAAGTAGGCGAGAAACTTTTGAGCTTTCTCTCTATATCCTGGATATATTACCACGTATATACGAACGAAGAGAAGGAGCTTTCCGATGACCTACTTTAAAATTATTTTTCACCTCTTCTCTTTTCTTTTTGCCAGTACTCTTCAGTTCTTCCGTACAAGTAACTTTGCAGCGTGTAGCCTTGTATACTATATGTGTTACGAAAAGATAAAATCATAGCGTTGTTTTATTGCAATTGACTAAGGAAAATGGCTACATCATGTTACAAAAAACATCCACACTACGTATACAAGAGATATTTAGAATGTTAGGCATACATTTTTTTAATTATACCTGTCATGCTGCCTTTTTAGAATAACACGAGTTATTTTAAACTATTTAAAAATTTTATTCAATTAAATAAAAATTACGTTATATTCTCATTGTTTGGTTTTTACACGCTTGTTTTGCTTATTGAACGATTCCGTTTTAAACTCCCCAGGAAAATTGAAAAATAAATATTTTCATCTAGAAACTAAACAAAGGTTTCTTTAATTATTGACTGCCTTGAAAATTTTTTACAATTTATCAATTTAACATAAAATCAGTAAAGAAATAAGTTAAGTCTTACAAAAGTATTAACTAATGTGAATAAAAGAAACTTTTGGTACATCATGAAGCAATTCTGTGATTGGCAATGCCTTATAAGACAGGGCAATATCTACAATTTTTTAAATATCTCTTGTGATACGTTCCAAAAGAAAAACATTTTGACACGTACACTATACTCTCGGAACACAGTACCACGAAACGAGACTATTTTAAAGCCATTTTTTTTAAAGTTGCTACTCTAAACTTTCTTCTGCAATAAGTATTGAAAAATCAGAGCATACAACCACAAAGTTGTTGCCCGTGAAAAGTTTCCACTTTCCTCTACTTTTTTGTTCTTGAAAGTTTTTTCTCGATTTTTCGAAATACGGTGGGCGTATTGGTTGCAGGCGCAGGTGTGGAAATTTCGTGCATTTGTGCCCCGTCAGCTGGCTTTTTTCTTCTCGCGACGACGACACCACCACTACTGGCGGTGCTAATGCAGGGTACTTGTGCTACTTTTCAGAAAACTTTTACCGAGCGAAGCTGTCTCGGTTTTTCGTGACGTGTTACCGAATTTTTAGGGCTTATTTATTGAAAATTTACTGATAGAGGCTACTTAAATATAATTTCTTTAACAATATTGATTACGCACTGTTAAAAATCATTAGACGCGAAGACGAAGGTTGTCATACGGCATCCTATTATTCAGTCAGTGTTATTTAGTCCATTGGAAATTAAGTTGAAAGTTACAAATTTTTTAATGTAATGCTCGAACGGAGCCTTTTGAATACAGGAAGAAAAAATATCAACTTTTGATGTAGGACTTATTTCGTATCAAAGAAATATATAGTATAAAATATTGTAAAAATCTGAGGGCCTTTAAAAACTACGAATCAGAAATTTAAATTATCTCTTGCTAAAACTCGTATATCAATTTAAATGGTACATATCTGTTTATAACTATTTTAATACACATTTTATTGTTTCAAATAGTGTAAAATAATTTGAAAAGAAATGTCAGAACTATTCTAAACAAATGAAATAATGTAATGATTTATCTTCAAACATTGACGATAGATTTTGACTTTACACAAGCAAAGGACAGTTACCATTGAATACGGCTATTCGCAAAAAGCTCAAGAGACTGATCGTCGATGGGAAAGTGCCAGTTAGAGTGAAGAAACAATTCCACTAGATCGATAAGTATAAAAGAGACTCCAAATTGACATCTCATTTGCTTGACAACGGTACAGTTTTATCAACTCTTGGAAGAAGAAAAAGCACGTGAAACAAGATTTTTTTACCCGTGTACATATTTATAGATGTACTCCACGAACCATCCAACGCTATCTATTATCGCACTCTTGGCTCACTTTCCTCTCGATTTCCCCTTTTTTTTACGCTAATGAGAGAGCTAATCGCAAAGTGCATTAAATAAATCAACTTAGCAGAGCTTTATCTTGCGAATTCGCGCTTCGCGGAGCATATTCGGTTGCAGGGGAGAAAAGGAGGCCGTTAAGGAAGTTAGCTTACCACCAAAGTCTGATCCGCAGTGAACAGTACGGTACTTTGCTGGTATTGTGCTGTGCGGGACGAAAAACTCACTACTGCTGAGTGCAGGTGTACTGCCATTGGTACGCCGTGGGACTCGTCCTAATCCTTATCCTGGCGTCTTTCTAGACCCAAAGAAGTAGGGCACGAGATTCTCTTTGTTGTATTCAAATAAAGCTTTTATTGCTGCT